TGCTGCTAAAAATTCACAGGAATAAATTTCATTTTTAAATTATATACTGAAATTGTAATAATACAAAATATAAACCCTTTTTAGTGTATTTTCATCAAATAAATGCATCCTTGGTGAGCAATCTTTCAAAAAAATGTTTTTTAACTTTAAACAATCCTACCATCTTTTGAACAGTAGTGTATGTACTTTTATTGCATAAAATGTTATATTATAAATTAAAGGATAAAGCGACAATTATTTTGTGATTAATTAAATCTTAAGTCTTCAAGGTGCAGGCTGAGAGCACATGCTCATGAAACGTTCATGCATAGGAGGTGACATAACCTCATAAATTCCAAATTCACTGTAACTAACAGTCTAAAAAGAGGGGGGGGGGGACTTGTAGTGTTTAGCACAGTGTAAACAGGACCCCCTTTCTATCTTAAGTTCTTACAGGAACTTGAGTAACATAAATCTTTCATCACTTAAATCATCTTTCAGATGTGCCATTATTAGCATATTATACAGTGGACAATTTAAAGAGGTCTGTCTGACCCCACTTGAACCTTGAAGGAAGCTAAACATAAAGTGAAACGTATAAATTACTTGTAAATATCCTTAAACAAGATTTCCAAACATTTCAGTATGTCAAAAGTTTATACGCTAGTCAGACCATGAATTTCACCTAGCAGTAGGCTAAATAGATGCTTTTAAACAAAAACATGTTCGCCTGCCCTGTGGTAACCATAGAAACTGGTTTGCTCCAGTACTTTCCATTAGGATCATTATCGGATGGAACACTGACAAAACAAATGCTGACATAATCACTTACAATATTGATTTATATATAAAGAAAAACATCACAAAAACATTAAAGGTGCATTCTGTAGTTTGGTGCTATTTTTAAATTTTTTAAACATTAAGAAATAAACTCTGTGAAGATTCATCTGAATGGTGTACACTCATATGAGATGAAGACTGTACTCATAATTGTTTTCTATGTGTTTTAATTATATACAGTCCATATAGAAATTACATGACTTGCTGTGCTTTACTAAACTCTCTTCGTGCTTATTGGCTGCCACTTCTGTAGATTCTCTACAGCATAGTGCTGTTTGATGATGCGAAATGTGAAAATTATACAAGCAGTTGTTATGGTACTTTACCAGCAGAGACAACAGGAGAATCAGTACCTGAATGGCCAAAAAAGCAGTCTACTGTCTAAAGGCAGAAGACAAAGACTGACAATAAAAAACAACAACAATGTAAACATCATTACGGCAAACACATGGTGGAAAGATTTGGGAACAAAAAAAATCGTAGTACTCTTTTAGTGTCAGTCAAATATATATAAAACTCCACGTTCATAGATGACGATGAACGATCATATGAATGTGGTATCTGTCATTATAGTATATGGACATTGATGCTAATGCTAACTAAAGAGCTACTGAACGCACGCATCTTTAAAAAAATCTTTAAGGGGCGCCAAAAGATCATTTGGATTGTGCTCATCGAAGCTTCCCAGATTGTGCCCTTAAAATTAAATAGAAATTCTTTTTAAAATGTCAACACTTACTCAACCTCCTGCCCCCACCCTGACACCAAATGTATTGTGCAATTCACACACTGATCTTATATAATTCCTAACAGCAATGTAAAGCACTGAAGAAAGGAAAAAACATGAAGTCACCTTAGTTGTTCTAACCTTTAGATGTCATTCATGAAACCTAATGTGGTTGATTCAGCTGAACCAGTTTTTAACTCTGGTTAAGTTTGATGTTACCACAAAAACAAAATGTTGTAGGCCCCACAGTTTAACCCAATACTGGGTTGTAGTAATGCTTTTCAGCAGTCCTATTCAAGTATTTCTGTTTTAGTTTTCCACTCTTGTTCTGTGATTGTGCTTTAACAGAGCGGAGCTGTTCCCCCTGAAGTCCACACTCACTTCACCTCTACTAACATTACACATGTTGTTCACAGTGTTTTTTCTCAATTACATACAATTTAAACCACAGAGTTCCCTCATGTGACTATAATGGAGCATTCACTCAGAATGTGAAAACAGAATCTATCCTTTCGTCAGCAGAGATGTTTGTTCGCCCAGGAAAACCGGTGGTTCGTATGTATTTATTCAAACCTGTTTCTCAATTATGCGTCTGAGAGGGTTCTGCATTTTTTTCTGGGATGCGCATCACTGGAGCGAGAGTGTAGGGCCGTTAGGATCACTGCCCACTCCGCGCTTAGTAATTGTCAGTATGTGTACGTGTGTGAGCTGAAGGTACACTCTCAGCTATAACTCTCTTAGAAGATGAATGAGGAGGCAGTGGTCTGGTTGCTTTGTTTTGTTTTTTACCTCATAGCCAACGGCACTTCTCTTACTGTTTACACCAAACGTGCTCTGCTTGAAACAAAGACGTTTAGTTGTAGAACACTCACACACACTCGTGCCATATCCCACCCCCGAGTCAAAACACCAGAATACTAGCTTGTTCGGTCTGGTCCACAGTGAGGAGAGACGGAGTGACTGTGCAGCTTTGGCTGTAGACCCAGATTCAGCACACTGACCACAGCTATTAACAACATTAACAGGCTCTGACCCCTGATAATAAGCGTATGTATAGCATGACAATATAGAGCGACATTCAGCAATACAATGCTTTAATATCAGCTCTAAATCACTCTCTCTCTCTCTTTCTCGGTGCTGTATAACTAGGCCAAGCTGAGGTAACAGTGTGTCATCAGTGTTGCAGAGCAGTTATGGCGAGAGAGAGGAAAGTCTCACACACACACATACACACTGATAATGCAAGCTCACAGGCTAATTTCCCCTCACACGTTTTTACCAAAATGAAGTACACTCTTCCTAGAACACATCTTGCAGAAATAATGGGGAACACTGTAGCTCGTAGTAAAACGGGGTTAATGTCCATACTTTCTACTGTGCAGTGGGCCGAAAGTGTGTAATGGCATTAGCTGTAGAAGTCTTATTAAACTTAATCCATGAAAATAAGCCAGTTTAATTTGGTTTTATCACGTAGCATATCCGCCCCGTGCTGCTACCGATGCTAATGCAGTTAGGCAGCTTTCTCAGTATGCTGAAACTGGGTGGAAGAAGCACTTTTCATTTCTCTGCACAGTAAGCACTCTGGTGTGAATGGAAAAGCACATGGCGCAGTTATAGTGCAAAATTTTGCGCAAAACACGCTAAAAATGTCTGTAAATGTAGCTTTTCCATTAGCATGTATGATTAACGTTAAAGACAATATGTTCACACTGTATGATTTTGGCCACAAAGACAATCATATTAATTTAAATAATTTTAAGTCATCCTTCAGCCCTCTTGGAATTTGCTGAGGCCCCCTAGTGGGTCCCGGCCCGCTTGGTTGAGAACCACTATTGTACGGCAAAATTATCACTCTTTATCACTATTCAGACTGTAAATGTTTGCATTTGCATGGCTATAATAGGATCAAATCAATCATTTATTGGGAATGTGTGAGTTCTGTCCTCCTATAAACACAGAAATTTGTAGCCAGTAACATGGCTATGTTCAAGCATGATGATCATATAGCCCTATAAGTAAAATATAAATGATAATATATCCAGAGACGGAAAGTGGGGTCTGCAAACTGCATAGGGGTGAAACTCAAAGAGGGGCTAAATGATTATATCTAGGCACACATGGTACAATTTTTACAGCCATTGGAGACCTCCAATGGCTGTAATAATCGTACCGTGTGTGCCAGCATAAAAAAGTTCTAGATTTTCATCACAGATAACCTCTGTAAAATGTGTGAAAAGTGAGTGAGTGATTTAGACTGAGATTAAGACCGATATATATGAAGCTATCAAACAGGTAGCACATGCTGGTGCATGTGTTTAATTTGTAATTTGTCAAATTTGTATTCTGCCCCAAGCTGCTACTTAGTGTGAACAGTACCTGTAAACTATAGGTCAATTTCTGCATTATTTCATAGGTTTTACAACCAGTAGAGCCAGATCACAGACTGATGCACCAACACACTCATTTATATCCCCACTGTTGCTCTAATTTACCGTTCAGTCAGAGCCGACATACCTATCCATGACTAAACCAACCTCATCCATTCTAATATGAAGTCAAAAAATGAAGTGTCTGTGAGAGAAAGAGAGACAGAGAGAATGTGTATATGTGTATGTGTGTGTGTGTGTGTGTGTGAGACTGAGAGATGCTGAGATTGAATGGTGTCACAATGGAGGCATATTGAGGTCGTTTTGAAAAAGTGCAGCTAATTACAGCAGATGGAATGAAAAGAAACAGGGGACTAGACCGGGCTCTATGTATGATGCTGAAAGAGGGAGGAGAACGAAAAAGCAGAGGGGGAGAAACAGACGGAGACTCCCTGAGAGAAACACGCAGGAGTGCGAGAGAACGGAGAAGTGATGGAAAGAGACACACGAGTAGAGAAAGAGGTTCTGTGAGGACAAAAGCACAAACCTGACCAAATTTCTAAAACATACAGCAGATAAGAAACTATACAAGTCTCTCTTTTTTCATGTCAGTATGCAACATCTGGAGTTTCCAATGATCATTACTACATATTTGGTCGACTTTGACATTACAGTTGGGGCTTGAGGCATAACTCTGCTTTGTTTTATTTGATTTTTACTAAAGTAACTGACAAAAAGACCTCAGATGAGCTCTACAGCTTATGACTACAAAGTTCTGAGGACTACAAAGCACTCATATTCAGCAAACATCTACCTAACCTACATGTGGTTGTTTTCAAGATCAAGAGATCTAGAAAATGTATCACTCCTACTTAAATATATCAATTAAAGAAAAAAATAACACAAAGCCTATTACCAAAACAAATACCTGCATTGATTAGTCATACAGAGATGTGCACAAACACTCGCAATACACACAAACATGAACCATCTCAAAAAGCTTTTTTTTTTTAAAAATCTATTTAAATGTATTTTCTATAAATTGATGCCTTATTATCGTGAAAATGACGATTAAAAAGACGACTTACAGTATGTTTGAACTGTTCCAGTGTACCGCGTGCCTGGCTGCAGTCACCAGGTCAAAGTTCGTGCAGGTGAGCATCAGAGTGAAAAGACAGAGCGCGTAGAGTGCCATAATCCCTCGATCTCTCGCTTTTCTTCCCAGTCTTGCAAGATCTTCTCACCCCACGCGACGCTGCGCTGGAACCATCCCGTTCGGCGAAGAAGGGCAGGAAGAGATGCGACCTAAAGCGCAGCTCGCTCAATTACTTCTATAGGGGTTTCGCAATCTATAGGTTTATATTAAGTGTTTAAAAAGTCAGAATCCATGGCGAAGACCCCCTCCCTCTGTCCCCATGGCGTCACCCCAAATCCTATAGTCCGACACGAGACCAGCGCTATTCGCGCGCGGACGGAGCAGAAAGATGCAGACAGCCGGGTGCTGGGAGTTTAAATGCGGGAAAGAGAGAAGCGTGTCCTCCCGTAGCGTTGGAGAAACTCGGGAGGCAACGAGGCTCCTTGATTGTAAAACTAATATTTTCTTTTGTTGATGCTGCTCGTAAGATGCGCGTGGAGAATCCTGCACGCGGCTGCGGGATGTTTCACACTTGCAATTGTGTGACGAACAAGTGCTCAAGCGAGTTTTATTCGCTCTCTTTGGCCATATCCACCGCTCTCTCTCTCACACACACACACACACACACACACTGTTTGGTAGGCTGTGCTCGTTCAGTCACCAGCTCCGCCTCCTGCCCAGGACAAAAGCGCGCGTCCGCTGGCTCCAGCTCTCAGTCTTCCAGAGATGCTTTCAGACAGCTGCTCTCGCGTCGGACGAGAAAACTTTATTTTATATCAGTAAACAATTACGACGGAGACCGTTCCTAGTGCAGTTTGAATTACCTACCAGCACAATCCTCTTACTGTCTGTCAGAGTGCAGTGCTTTATATCCTATTATAAGCAAACCTCCATCCTTCTGTGCTCCTGCTCTCTCTCTCTCTTGGTCTCTCTCTCTCTCTCCAGTGTAAGTCTTTTCTAATATGGAATAATTATGGGAAATCCTCTTAGGAGGGAGAATGGATTGATGGATTGGCTCATCTCTATCTCTGTCCTTCACTCATACTCATCCACATATAAAAGATGTTGAGCTGATGTTAATGTTCATATGATAGCAATCAGTCTCTCCTGTTCCTGTATGTGCGCACGTGCCATTTGTTTTATGTGTGTGTCCCTCCTGTCAGGCCTGCCATAATTATGTACACCTGTGCACACATACACAAACCCCTATCTATCTATCTATCTATCTATCTATCTATCTATCTATCTATCTATCTATCTATCTATCTATCTATCTATCTATCTATCTATCTATCTATCTATCTATCTATCATCATCATCTCAGTGTTGGACTTCACAGCTTTCCCACTGAATTGGGCAACTTTTATACTGATGCCATGGGTTGCCCTGGAACATGATTTTGACCAAGGTGGAACCCCCTGGTAGGTGGTTTTGACCCTCCAGAATTTGATAGCTATTTTCCCCTGGAACACAGGCTAGTTTTGAGTACCAGTTGGGCTGGTTTTGTTATGCAGACCTGGAAACCCTGATCTGTCTGTCTGTCCGTCTATCTGGGATGTATCTAGAAATACAGGTGAATAGATAATGCACTAATACAGAAATAGTTGAAGATAGTTAGAGGGAAAAGTGCTATGTAATATTTATTACATGACGGTCGATGTCATGATGCCTTAAGACACGTTGCCTTGGTGATAGCCGTGATAGTTTTGGGGTTTTTTTAGGAATGAGAAAAAGCGAGCAAGCGAGAGGAAGGAGAGAGTTGCAGAGGAGGGATAGTTGCAGTTTGCCTCCCGTCTGCTGGGAATGAGTTGGTTAAGGAGAAGTCAAAATGATTTATTGGGAGAAAAGGAGGGAATAGAGGAAGAGAGGACAGTGAGAAAGAGAGGAAGAGATTAGGTGTCATAGGGAATCTAGCACATGTAAAATGCTATAAGAATATTCCAGATATAATACAACTGTGGTCAGCTGCAACAGAAAATAAAATAATTAGCTTGAAAACAATAGAAAACAAGTTTGCAGTTAATACAATTAGCAATATGAAATAAAAAAATCGAGTGCAGCAGTGTTTCTATTGTGCAGCATAAAACTATAACATTTACAAATTACACATTAATCTTGTCTATACCCTATACCTTTTTGACTAATGAATTCCTGCTTTAAAAATGTAAAACTTCACATTTCTGCTTTATCCTCTCTTGAACACTTGGCTGCCAGCTTCCATTGTAAGTGCATTACTGTAATGTGTTTTCCATTCTTTCTCTCTTTTTTTCTTTTTCCACATTGAACCATATTTCAGTGAATTGAATATCTTTTTTTAACAAACTAAAGGAACAAGTCAAATGTATCACCTGTAGTAATCGACAGCATTCTCCACAGCTTTTCCGTAGAACTCAAGTGATAGTATTTAACCCGCAATATTCCTTTAAGTGCACTTTCCCAATTTGTGGCTTTTCAGGACCGATTATGAGCTTCTTTGTTTCAAAATTAAGAAGCAAAAGTGGCCCTTCACACATGCTCTCTCTCTCTCTCTTTCTGTCACTCTCCATCCCTCCTTCGCTCTCCCTTCCTCTCACTCATCTGTCTGACATGAATTTTCAATCTCACTGTTTACCTTCCACTGCTGTGCCTAAAACAACACTGACACAGATAGAGCACACATAAGAGAGAGTAAGAGAGAGAGAGAGACAAGTAGATCAAGAAACAGGTGGAGAGATATTAGTAAGAAAGACCGGCGAAAAGAAGAAAAGAGTATAACAATGAAAGAAGTGGAAAAACAGAAAATGCTGTGGGCGTGCGGGTGTGTGTGTATGTTGTTTGCCAAACAATGGAGAAAAGAGAAGCCACGCTGGCTAAGAACCTCTTTCTATAAATGAAGTGGACATTGTCCAGTCACGGAAAGCCAAAGAGCCGGAGAGCAAAAATGGGACACAGAACATCAGGGATAAAGTGGGAGAGAGAAAGATTTATAGAAATGGAGGGAAAGGAAGTTGACAGAAAGAATGATGTGGAGAGAAAAAATGATTTTTTTTAACGACTGTGGAGGAAGGGGAGGCAGCGGAGAGCAAGCTTAGAATAGATACGCTCTCAACCACATGAAATATTGAACGAGGGAGCAAGAAAACAAGAGAGAGGAAAGGAAAATGGAGAGAATGATAGAGATAAATACAATTGTTATTTGTTTAGTGTGCGCTGAGGGAGAGTGCGAGATGGAGGGAGGGAGTGAACGACAAGAAGGGAAGGAGAGTACTTTGGAAAAGATGGATGAACGAGAGAGTCTTGCCGGCAGCGGTGGAATGAAGGCCGTGCGGTGAGGGCAGGCTTTCCGAGAACAAAAGAGAGAGAAACATTTGTTTGGATTCTGATGACTGATATATGTGGATGAATGGTACGGTTTTGTTGGAAAATATTACTCTGCAAAACGTGTTTCATCATCTTTCTTCTCTCCCAACAAGTCCTCCCCCTCCAATCTCTCTCCCTTCTCTCTTCCACACTCTTTCTGCTTTGATCTCTCTCTTCTCACTGATCTTTTTCTCTCTCCCCCATCAAATTTGAAATGTTTGGCAGGTTTTGTTCAGATTGCCGTGCAGATGTGCTTGTGTTTTGCAGGCTTCTGCTCAAATTTGGCATGGTACCAACAGAGAGCCAAAGGCTTACATTTCAGAGACACGTCATTTAAAATATTATTCATTTATAATCCATGGCTTCCTTTCAGAAATCCCAAATATACATGTTAGGTGTGCCTCTCATGATCATCCGAATGGCCATTTATAATCTCCTGCCTTCATATTGTGCTTTAATTCCCTTCTCTTGAAAGCAAGAAACTTAGGCTATATCCACATGACCAACAATGAGAAGGGCCTTTTTGAATGTACTACTTTTTTAAGGTAAGTGTTTGTAGCCTACATTTATCTATCTCGAGTTGAGTGTACTCATTTTTTGTAAAGTGAACAAAGCAAACCACATCTACACTCCTAAAAATAAAGTTTACAAAATTTGTATTTCTTTATTTTATTAATTTTTATTTTTTACTTTTTTATACGTTTTTTTATTTTATATTTTTTGCCGTGATGCCATAGAAGTAGCCTACTATTTGGGTTCCTCGAAAAAAGGGGGGGGGGGGGAGTTTTTAATTTTTTTTTTTTAATTTTTTTTTTTTTTTACAATACAACATTTTGTTTTAATTTACCTACATTTTACAACAAGACGCACATGTAGCGACATGCGAAATATTAGCCTTTGAAGCGACATTTACAAGTAAAAAAAAAAAAGAAAGAAAGAAAGAAAAAACAGGCCAAGACAAACTTGCAAAACTCGTGAACGGAAAAACCTGCGTGCGAACAACATTCTCCTGCGCGCGCGGGAAAGCGTTCCCGTACACGAGCGTGGCAGTTTTCAGTTTGTAATGTGGTTTATTGTCCGCACGTAGAAGTTTCTTATCCACTTGCGAGAGTCCCAGCAATTTTTCTTCAGTTTAGAGGCTCCATGGTATCTGCATTTATACACTTTACATATGTGTGCACCATAGAAACACTAATCTCGTGTAATTGTGACTTCAACACAAAACATCACCGGTAACACTAAACTTAACTGTAAACACCACGATAACATATATTACTAACAACAACTATACACTGTAACAGTCTTCATAAGAGGAGTACTTTGATTATAATCGCATTATCATGCACAGTTATTATACATTATTATAAGGCAAAACATGGCATAAATAATGTCGGCACCTCCAGCAGTTTTGATGAGCAGTGTTCATGAAGCTATCGGTGGATGTTTAGAGGGGAGAGCGGCTGATGTGGCCTCCTGCTGATGCAGTGCTGATCAGTGATCAGACGATGAGGACCGGGCTCTGCTGGGTTTCTAACAGAGCACTTCCCTGAGCAGCGCTGACATAAATCAGGCCCGCAGAGCTGCACTGCCCCACAGGAATATCCTCTCCCTTCTGAGCACTTACTGGATGTGTGTGTGTGTGTGTGTTTATGAGGGAAAGAGAGCGTCAATTAAAAACATATGCACTTGTTTTATGTACACAATATGTTTAGAAAATTAAAAACCTAATCTAATTTAATCAAAGGGGTCTTTTCACTGTAACAGTCTTCATAAGAGGAGTACTTTGATTATAATCGCATTATCATGCACAGTTATTATACATTATTATAAGGCAAAACATGGCATAAATAATGTCGGCACCTCCAGCAGTTTTGATGAGCAGTGTTCATGAAGCTATCGGTGGATGTTTAGAGGGGAGAGCGGCTGATGTGGCCTCCTGCTGATGCAGTGCTGATCAGTGATCAGACGATGAGGACCGGGCTCTGCTGGGTTTCTAACAGAGCACTTCCCTGAGCAGCGCTGACATAAATCAGGCCCGCAGAGCTGCACTGCCCCACAGGAATATCCTCTCCCTTCTGAGCACTTACTGGATGTGTGTGTGTGTGTGTGTGTTTATGAGGGAAAGAGAGCGTCAATTAAAAACATATGCACTTGTTTTATGTACACAATATGTTTAGAAAATTAAAAACCTAATCTAATTTAATCAAAGGGGTCTTTCATTAAAGTTATTAAAGGTAAATTATCTACAGAAGCATTACA